TGCAAGTTGTAGTCGAAACAGGTATTGGACTTGGTGTATTTGCTGGCGCAACTATTGGAATTGATGAAACAGTACGAGCGCTTTCTGCATGTGCTATTCGAAAAGCACTTGAAGAAGATGGGCCAACTTATCGAAACATACGTGCTGTTGTGTTTGCTCTACCTATTTTCGATGTAGATTATCGAAATGGTAGAAGACAAGATACCTATCAAGCCTTCGCTGATGAATTCAATGAAAGCAATTACCAGGGTCCTATTCCTGTATTAATTGCTGATCAAGATATGCATCGATTAACAGTAGCTATTGCTCGAATGGGTTTCAATGTTTCTGAATTGAATCCTGCTGATTCACATGGTGTATTTGGTGAATATTGGCAAAATCGAGGACCAGCTGTAGAAGAAAAACTAGCTTTGACTACAGTGGGTCTACTTGTACAACATCATCTCATTAACCAAAATGTACTCGATCCAAGCAACTATCATTTTATTTAACTAACGATATAGAGAAGAGTATTACATAGTAATACAGTAAATGAAAATGATAGAACAAGAAATTATTTTTCACTTTTTCAATGATTGTTTTTGTGACTCTAAAATTTCCTGTAATTATGAAAAATTTATTTCCATTTGTTAGTACTAATACCATACGTTTCGCACAGACATCAGAAATAACAGAGGATATTTAATGTGGAAAGCAGATCAAGTAGACAGTTCAATAATTACATGGGCGTTGATGTGGATGTAGGTGTAGATCTTCTGTTAACCCACACTCTGATACAGTATCTATTCAAGGTGATAACATGAAAATCGTAACACCATTTGAGCAGATACAAGCATGATGAAACAATTGATGATATCCAATCAAAAATGTCGATCAAAAAAGAGAATAAAGAAAGTGGTGGTAGGTCATGAATTTATAATATTCTCATTTTATTATAACACTCAAGTTTTTTTTATAATTCTTTGAGAGACGCAAAAGGCATTCTCATAACATTTCATTCTATTAAGAAGTAACTAAATAATAATGGCATTAATAAAGCTACTAATGACATCGACAGCTATATGTTAAGTCTTCTTGCCCAATTTAGAGGTCTAAAAGGCTAAATAACATAAACTTTTTGCTGATCATGCACATAAATTATCTCATCATGTGTTTCTTGATATATGAAGTAAAGTTTGATATTTTTTATTTTTCTAAATAGCTCTTGCTAATAAAACTCTCATAAAAAAATAAAACAAGCATCCATGAGAAATTAGATGGCATCTCGACAAAGTCGAGAATGCAAATTAAGGTACGAAGCATTCTCTATTTTCCATTCTTCAATTT